GAGCAGTACTATGAGCTGATACTAGAAGACAGGTTCAATTGATTATCCATGTAAAACAAATGGCTGTGTAACATTTTGCACATTGGTAGCATGTTCCATCGAGGCTCTCGATGCTTTTCTAGTAACCTTAATCTGTCACTTATAGCTCCTATGGCAGAGGGTTCAGTACTACTCAAATTCTTCTGGTAAGGAAATTGACACAGATAATGGAAATGATTCGCCCAAGTTAATTCTGTGCCAGAGCCAAGAGCAGAAACCAGATCTCTGCCAATGATTTTGAAGATTTCTATCACCTTAGGAGTTACTATGTGCTGGTCTTGCACTCTATTCTTCTTTGCACTAAAGTGGGAATGCTATTTTAAATCCAAACCATATTGGTGGAGGGATGTTGACTTTGTTGTAATGTAAGGAGCAATTACTCTGGCAGAAATTGACTTCCCGACTTGTGGAAAAGAGCAAAGCAGCTTGATTATGAAATATTTGCAGGCAGATTCTGAAGTGGGCCAGTGAAACACACAGCATGCTGTAGAATGATGGGGTCTTGGCATGTGGGACTATGTGTGAGCTTCTTTGACAGAGCTGTCTAGTGGTCTTATGACTGATTAGCAGTGGGTGCTGCTGTTTGGAGATGGTTTTAATGAATGAAGGGCTGGGTTAAGATTGCTGTAGAGCAGCGATGGGCAACCATGAATATTGGGTGGGTGACATGAATGGCCCTTCACTGCAGTGTGCTACAGCAGCCCATGGGCCACTGGGGTTCCACCTACCACCTTGGAACCCCTGTCTGTCCTCCCCCCATGTACCCTCCTTTCAGCACTGGGGCACTGGAGCCCCTCACTTCCTACTCCCTTTCCCTGCCAGCACATTTGGAGCACCACTGATTGTGCTCTATCCCGGCTCCTCCTCTTTCCTCCCAGAGCTGGAACAGCTGCAGATTCACAGAGGAGTGGGACTTGCCTGCTGCTGTAGTGGTTTCATTGTACAGGTTGGTCGCCTTTCTGTGTATCCCTTTCACAAGAACGCTGATATTCTGTGTTCTACGTAGTGTTCCTTCACGTAGCCACTACTGTCATCTCAGCAAAAGCAATGAGGAGTCCAATGGCATCTTAAAGACTAACCCATTTATTAGAGTGTAAACGTTCATGCTCCGGAGCCCACTTCACCAGTTGCATCGGATGAAGGGAGCTACAGCCCTTGAAAGCTTGTGCCCACATAAAGAGTCTTTAAGATGCCACTGGCCACCATGTTGTTTTTGCTGAAGCAGACTAACAGGGCCACCCTTCTTGTAATAATCCCAGTTGTATGTAGGTATATGAGTGTTCTTCAGAAAAAACAATGCAGACTGACTTGGTCCCACACTTAGAAGTGAGTCTGTTTCAGTGAGAGAGAAGCTCGTTAAGGGAGATGGGCCAGAGCTGGCAGCTCGAGGGCACCGAGTTCAGATGTCACTTCTACCAACTAGTGTTTATATCATTCCCCTTTTGCTACCTCATTATCGACTGTGCCCCCCAGCTGTAGATGGCAGTCAAGGATGAGTTACAATTCCCGTTGTGAAAAATGGCGGTTACACAAGATCATTGTATGCACAGTTAGGAATAGAGGCCAGGTCTCTAACAGGGTAAACGTACAACGGGATTATTGTTCCAGTTTTGGCTGCCCTGTCTCTAGTCACTGAACCACACTTCCCACTCAGGGACAGATTCTAGGATTTCTCATCTCATCTAGCCTCTTGGGAAAGTGTGCACCAACTCCTGCACCTGGGGGCAAGGCCTTGGGAAGGCTAGCAATCACTTCTGATATTGAAGTGGGTAGGGTCTGAGCTAGAGAATAGAAGACCCAGGCTAAAATCCTGCTGCTGCTGTACGTGGTAGATGCTGTGTCTGTATCTCTTTCAGTTTAAAAGAAGATTTGTTCTTACTGTACAGATCATGGCTACCTCTTCAGCACAGAGGCTGCCAGATGCATAATGCACCTCCATAAGGTTCTGTCATGAGCTAAACCCGGTGTGGGACAGGATGCCTGTGCATGTCTGGCCCTAGAGCTTCTCCCGGGGTGCTGTAGCCAGGGGAGGTCTCAAGGGGCTTGGGCTTCCCCTCACTGGCTGCAGCCTGGTCTCAACACCATGTGACAACACCATGGGATAGCTTGCCTGCTCCATCCTGAGCAAGATGGGAGAACCCTCTCCTCTGCCACTGCCCCTGTAGTGTCCCAGTCTCCTAATCCAGCCTCCGCGCTCCACTCACAGGAGAACAGCGCTTTCCCCTCCCCTACCCCAGTCCTCAGCTCCTCTTTCCATGGGTCACCTGGCCAGCCAATGGAAGGTGAATGTGGTATCTCAACCAGCCCCAGTCAGTTTCCCAGTGTGGGTGCAGGAGGGGAAGTACAGTGGTTAGGGAGGAAGAGGGCATAGGGCAGGGGTTTGGGCAAAGGCAGCTCTGTGCAGAGGTCATGGGTGAAGGGAGCACAGTGCAGGGATTAGGGTGCTGCAGGGAAGCGAGAGTTTGTGGAGGTGGGCTGCAGGGATTGGGGAACCTAAGGGGCCAGGGGTTGCAGTTTCCCAGTGTGGGTGCAGGAGGGGAAGTACAGTGGTTAGGGAGGAAGAGGGCATAGGGCAGGGGTTTGGGCAAAGGCAGCTCTGTGCAGAGGTCATGGGTGAAGGGAGCACAGTGCAGGGATTAGGGTGCTGCAGGGAAGCGAGAGTTTGTGGAGGTGGGCTGCAGGGATTGGGGAACCTAAGGGGCCAGGGGTTGTAGGAGGCAACATGACCACTGGGCCAGAGGCACAAAAATATGTTTGCCTAGATGCCATTGTCTCTAAGGCTGGGCCTGTGCCAGAGAGAGAGAGTTGTCTGAGGGTGGCCAGACATTGTTTTAGAGCAGGGCTACTCAACATGTGGCCTGCAGCCTGTTTGTCTGTGGCCCATGGTGCTGTTTGGGTTTATGCAGGGCTCAATACACGGCCTCCGGGTGGGACCCTTTGAACATGGCCTCCACTGGGCACACGCGCCACAATGGCCATTCAGTAGAATGGTCTTCTGTTGATAATGTGCTTTCGTAGTTAAATTCTTGCGCTGTCTTTGCTCACTAAAAGTGCTATCATACGGGTGGAAATCGGGTAACTATTGCATTGTGTTAATATCGGCAGAACTGACTTAAATGGGGCCTGCATGTTGTGTAGTCTTGCCTTAATCTTTGTATTCATGCCCGTCAGTGTGAAAGAGGCTATTTGCATATATAATGCATGTATATTCAACCACACTTAAGTTGTGTCTCTCAGCATGTGTGCTGTATCATTGTGGCATTGGAGGCTTCCAAAGTTTAGTAGCCCTGTTTTAGACTGAGGTCTCTTCCCATGTACATACTCTGAGGGGAATTGCATCAGGCCATGCCAATTTACATCTAACTAAAGCAAAGTAAAAAGCACGCTGTCCTAACAGAATCTGGCATGAACAGGGTTGATGATGTAAACCCCTTGGCTGTGTCTACATTGGCCCCTATTCCATAGTAGGGATGCTAATGTAGCACTTTGGAATAGGCAAATCCGCGGGGGATTTAAATATCCCCCGCGGCATTTGCATTTTCATGGCTGCCGCTTTTTTCCGGCTTGTAGATAAGCCGGAGAAAAGCGCCAGTCTGGACGCGATCCTCCGGAAAATAAGCTCTTTTCCGGAGGATCTCTTATTCCTACTTGAAATAAAAACAGCCCAACACACATGATGGATAGTGATGTATGAGGTAATGGGTGGTAACTAGGTAACACTAGAGGGTGGCAATTTCACATGTTGGGAGTGATGTGTAACTTGTTTGTACCTGTGTATACAAATGTACCCCAAGGGCATAAAGACAAATTGCCTATGTCTGACCAAGGGGGCAATGGAATTAAGAATGCATTAGCCCTGATGCATAGGAGGACACAAACAGAAGTGTAAAAATTGGGGACACGCCAGTGTTTGCACCTTTGA